TAGTTATCGTGATTGTATTCTGCTTTCTAATGTATATAGATTGACGTGTGAGCGGTGGCAAAACTAGTAATTCGTTTGATTAAGTGTTTTCTACCTCTACTACAGCTATGACTGGTGTAAAACCAAAGATTCACTACTGTTTTATAAGTAAAGTGTCAATTCAAAAATCACTTCTTTTCTTATGAGACTACGACTTTTCAAATAATAGGACATCAAAACTCTTTCTTTTCCTTTTCTCGTACCTCTTTATCTGATTTTCTAGCCAAAAGAAATTTTGCGCTGTTATAATTAAAAACAATTCGTTTTGTTACTTTGAAATCAAAAGTTATAATGCAAAATTTGGATAGAAAGCTGCAGCGAAAAATGGTCAGTGAGGGGAAGGAGAAACCTGAAACTCGTTGATTGCTATCACTGATTTTTTGTCACATTTGGTTTTAAGCCATTAAAAGTCTTAATTTTGTCGTTTTTTACTGTTTGCTTTCTACTGAATCAGGTAAGATTAGTAGAACTTGTTGTACTTTTTACATCTTTAATAAGTGTATAAAAAATTCAAGGTTGTTTTAATACGATTTAAAAAATTAAGACAGTACTGCGAGAATTCCTTGTTGAGCTTTGATAGTAAATTTAGTAAAAAAGTTTGACTGTTAAAACCGCTTTGAAAAGGGGTTTTAAATATCTTCCTTGTACTCTGTGGATGACAAAGAATTAGATTTTCTATTCCAAAAAAAGGTTATAAAGTAAAAAATTTACTTAGGTTTTTGCATCGTGTCTTAGTCACAACTTTTGAAAATGTTTCTTTAAATTCTTAACCTTGAAATTGAGTCACTTTTCATTTCCTATTTATGGAACGTTTCTGATTTATTTGAAAGTTTTTCGATAAAATTAGACAAAATTTCTCTTAAATTTTAGCTAAAATGTTTTACTCATCAAAATATTATCGCTTGTTTGAAGAAAATTTTTTTTTGAGCTGATTTTGCGCATCTTAAATTTTCTATTGGTTTACTCATATTAATGTCTCTTCGTAAAATCATCATATAAATTAAATTTGAATTTTCTTTCCAATGAGTCATTATAGAATGTATGAGATTTATTAGAGTCTTAAATTTACATTAATGCAAGTTTGCCAATGCAGTACAGAAAGTGTCTTTTCGGTTCACTGACCAACGCTCTTGCCAATTTTGTGTTCGCCTATTGCCGGCAGCACCCATAATTTAATTTTGACCAGTTACTGTTTGCACCAATGTCGCAACAAGTTCCCTAAATTTAAAGATTTATTGTCAGAATTAACAATCATTAAATTTTCACTTCAGATTACTAATTGGAAAACATTCTGGAAAATCTGTTCAGGAACTTTTATTTTGCACAGAATTTTGTATACTTTGTTACTTCAGAGTTTTGCTCACTTTCATGAAGAAATTGCATTTTTTAACAGATTAAGTTTTTTACTTAGAATCTACTTTTATTTCCTCTTAATGCCTGTTTACTTGCCTTTTTAAAGTTTATCTTAATATCATTCAGAGTGGTATTTTTTTTATTGTGCTAATTATAATAAAACTTCAACTAAAAATTGATGGTAAAGCTGTTCCTTTTAAGATGGTTGTTACAGCGTCTTTAAAACTCTTCAAAAGCCAATTTACTTTTGAAGACTGTTACTGAAACTGATTATCAGCTTTGGTAATACAGTAATTCTGTTTGCTTTTGAAAAGATTTTTTCAAAACTAGTTTTTTTCTTGTGTCTGTCATAGGTTATTAACTCATGAATGTTAGGAAAATATCTGGTCTTTATAGCAGCCTTTTATGCGTAAGTTATACGCGGTTGTTTTCTGTAGCAGTCAATTAAACTGCCCGGCTGTTGTTTTACTTTGATGTTGTCGGAAAGTTTCAAACGTTAAAGTTTTTTTGATTCTGTCAGAAGTTTTACAAAAGTACAAAATATTGTAGGAATATCTGGTTCCCTGATTACTGACTAAAACAGTATTTTGCTTTTTTTCAATTTTAGGATCAGTAAAATGAGTCTTGTTTGCAAATTCATTAAGCCAATAAGTAGGAGGAAAGTAACCAAATTATGACCTTACTGTTCTAATACATTTATTTGGTTTTAATCCGAAGTGTAAATTATTTCAGTTGTTTGTTAGCCAAAAAAAAAAGTGATTTTTTAGTTTTTGTTTACTTAACATTTTAACTGGTAAAACATGAAAAGTTTCTTTATGTTCGCTGAAAGTATTTGATTCGCACAGTTAGGGTCTTTGTGATTTAGAACAGCTTTTGAAAATCTCCTTTTTTTTCTCCGCTCAGGCACCCTCAATTGAAAGCTTTTATAATTGTCACAAAAAGAGACCGAACAATTTTAAGAGATATATCTTTCGGCTTTTCACCGATTTTTCTCATTTGTTTAAGTCTTTTTTTTATTATTAATAATCACTAAAAGTTGTTGGTAGTCTAAAAATTTACAATAAAAGTTTTAGAGTAAAGAGGACATTTGAAAATTGTAAACTTCTCACCTTAACTATTTTTTACTTGCTCTTTGCTTTTTTCTGGGCAATTTGTTTCCTAAAACATGTGAGGCGTTTAATGGTAGTCAAAACAGGTGCAGGTGCGTGTTGAAAGCTTCATAGTCTGTTTGATTAATGTGCACATTTTTGATCTTACACGTTGCATAAGCAAGTTTGAAATACGCTTTTTGTTATAAGTCTGTTATAGTCTAAATAACTTTATTTATGATATTTTCGAAAGTTTACACAATTAGTTTAAATTTCAAAGCACATTAAAAGGTTGTTTTTGGTGCTTAGTAATTTACATACTTTTGATAAGGGATAATGGTCTTGAGAGTATCTTTTTCTTCAGTTGTTATCTTTTTTAAACATTCCATTAAAGGACCGTAAGAGCTTAACAGCTCTAATTCGTTTTTAGAAGGTAAGCTTTGGTTTGGTTTTGATACGATCTAATATTAGCAGTAGTGTAGCTGGTACCACAGACTGTTAAAGCAGTTTATTCTTAAGAAAAAAAAGGAGAAACAAAAACTTGCGGCTCTAATTGTGTACTGAATGCCCACTCAGTGATGTAAAGAGACATTTGTTCTGTAAAACAGTCTTAGTGATGTTTAAATAAGCACTGCTTGACTTACTTTCCCTACCATCACTCGTCTTAGTATTGTCAGACTTTCTACTGTTTCTAACCATTAGACATACTGTTCACTGACTAAACGCGATGCTGTGAGTAGTATCGGTGAAGGAATACTTTTTTCATTCTGTAGAAATAAATTTTGGTTTGTCTTCGCCTTCTCAGCACTTTTATCACTTTTTTACTTTTTTTACGGCACACTTAATTTGACATGACGATGGATTTTTGTGCATCACTTTATTTATTCCAGCTTTTAAAGTTTGTTTATTTTACCATTTTTGACGTCAGGTGTTTAGCGACCAGTGTTTTTTGTTCTATGATATTCCTAGCTTCTTGCAACGGAAAACAGATGTTTGTTGGATGAATGGATATCAGCAATTTTTTGGCTGTTTATTCTCATTTTAAAGCTCTCAGCTGAATTTTTTTAGTTTCTGCTATACTGTCGAGCGCCTTCTTGAATTACTGCTAAAAATGCCTATTTTTTCTTAAAATAATTTCGACTTTCAGCTTATCGCTTTTGAATACCGCGTTTATGTAGCCCTGTAAGGTCTTGTACCAACTTTTTATTTTTTCAGACGACTGAGCGATTTAGCTCGACTAATAGCGAACTAGTACACTTATCAAAGAAGTCTAAAAAAAGCATTTGTTTGGCGAAAAGAAGGGCATAATTTGAGAAGGATTTGTCTGAAACCTAAAAATTTATCGCAATTTATACCCGATAGTTTTTCGTCAACTGTAAAAAAAAAGAAGAAGAAATAAAGCAAGACAAGCAGCTATCTGTTATTTTGATAACAACAGGAGTAAAGTTGGAAAAATACAAAGTTGACTTAAACGATTATAAGCAAAATCTGCAACGCGCAAAAGGTTCGTCAACATTCGAAAACCTTAACACTGTAATTTCTAATGTATTATTCACCAACCGTTTCACCATTCTTCGCCCACCAGATCTTGTCTTTGCCCTGAGCTTAGAGGACTCTTAAAAAGTAATTAGCTTAAAAGAAAATTAAGTTGTAAACTATTCCACTTTTGTTTAGTTCTTTCATTTTTTTTGAATACTATGTTATGTTTCGAAATTGTTGGTGTTTATTACTTTTTTGCATAAAAATACAGGATATTTTATAAAACTAAATCGCACTTTGTGAACATCTTTTTGAGTTTCAACAGAATCACCCAGCTTAATTATAGATATCGCTCTGGGCTCGATGGTGGACTGTACATAAAATAGTTTGACACTGAGAAGTGAGCAAATTTTGTCGGTCCTCATGCAGTTAGCGCTATTTTTGCGTTTTATACGATGATTGATTTGCGTTCCGACATTGGAAGCCTAAACTGCCAGCAGAAGCTGTCTCATCTGAAATTTCAAGAGGCGTATTGGGCATCCCGGACTAAATTTTACATCGTTATTTTTGTCGCTTTAATACCGTTGTTTGGTGTTACATCTGCCTCAATTGTCGTTGAAAGCAATCGTTTTACTGAGGCTGAAATTGATCTCATCAGAAAAACGTTTCTTAAAAAGTAAGCTTAGTTTTTCTACTTTTGAAATTTACTGCAACTTAAAAAGAGATTAATGAGAAACCTTGATTGGTGAGACATATTTCTTAGTTGTCAAGAACAACGAAAATACGGCAAAGTCATAATTAAACTTTTAAGAACCCGAATGGGCTATACCAACCAGTTGACGTATTTTAGAAACAGCTACCTATTAACTTTTAATTTTCGTGCGTAGTGTATTGTTGCAGAACTTTAGAACAACTCAAAACGAAGATTCTATCAGTTGTTAGCTAATAGATTACATATTTTTATATTACTTATAACGTATAATTTAGAGGGCCAAATAATTTTATAAGTAGTAAAGAATTAATTTATTGAATGATTTTTTGATGACTGCGTTTAGATTTAATATTACGGAACAACCTGTTCAAATGCGTCCGGCTCTCCCGGTTCCTAACTATGTCTGGAATTTATATGATAAAGTACAAAAGGAAGATATTGACTCAATTCGACATTACTATCCTCAAAGAATTACGGAAACTAACGAAAGGTAAGTTGTTTAAGAACTAAGCGAATGGTAGATTTTGATATTGCAAGCCAGAATAATTAAACAGTTCGCTTCTAAAGCACGTGAGAAATGATAAAACAGAAAAGCACTGCTAGGACTTTCAATTCTGTTAGCCGTAGATAAAAAAATCAGTACCAAAAACTTAAATGGTGACTTCAATTTAGCTTTCAGAATGTTGCTTTTGCGGTACAACCTTACTGTAACGGGACAAAACCTTACCGACGAACGAGTTATTGGCGCTGTGCTAAAACTGAAGTTAAATCGCGGGGTCAGACAGCGACGAGTTAAGATTTTTGAAATTGACCAGAGGAATCCTGATATATCAAGGTGTGTGGATGTGTCTTATTAGCCGCAAAACAAGCTCTCTAACTATTCTAAACTTTGTTTTCTAGTTGATTTGCCAATGGAAAATTTTTAGGTTGATAGATTCACGGCAGTTTGAAGCAGAACCGAGAAAAGATCACCAATGGGTGGATATGGATGTTTCTGAAACCTTAACAAGAAGAAGGCTTGATATGCAATCGGTACAGTCTAAATGTTAAACTGCTAAGCTGAAAATTAGTCTGGTTTTTAACAGTGCAAATAGTTCAGGTTGTTTTTGCGGTGGAATTGACTGATGGTGCAATGACTTACGGGGTGCCGTCTGCAGCGTACACAGTATCCTCAATGCCATACAGCCGAACACAGGAGGCAGCGCTTGTTGTGTATATCCAGTCGAACGATGCCGCCAAGGTGACTTTAATTTTTTGTTTTATTTCGTATCTTTGGGAAAACGATTACTGCCAACGATAAGACAGTTCTTCAGATTAGCGGTTAATTAGAAATGCTTGAATCAACTTATTCATGCTTTTGAGTGAAGTGACACATATCCTGCGGAAAGCTCAGCGTTGCAATAATATTGTTCTCTCTTAGGTTCCAGAGCAAAGTATTTTGGCAAAAAATTCGTCTTATTAACATTCTAATCAGTAGTGACGAAGTGAGACATGAATAAGATTGAGTGGTTGGAAATGCTTTAATCGGCATTGTACATATTCTTGTTTACCCAAACGTAGTGTTTTAAAATATAGTATTTTAAAATACTGTAAATGTTTTATATGTAGAGTCGGAGGAAACGTAGGGCTGGAGAGAGAAAAAAGAGGCAGCACAAAAACAAAAATCACAGAAAAGAAGCAAAAATGTGCCGTCGAAGAGAACTAACAATTGATTTTAAGCAGCTGGGGTGGAACGATTGGATTCTTGCTCCTAGTTTGTTCTATTTCTAATTCTAATCTTGTTTTACAGCAAAATAGACGTTAGAATTAAAGCTGTTGTAGAATATCACTGCTTTTTATGTTTTAATTCTACTTATTTATTTAGCAAGCTACAAAGCTTATCAGTGTCAAGGTGAGTGTCCATATCCAATGCCGAATTCGATGAACACAACGAATCATGCTATCGTACAAGGAATTTTAAATTCAATTGATCCTGAAAGAATTCCACCACCTTGTTGTGTTCCAATTGAGATGGAGAGTTTGGCAATTTTGTACATTGACGTTGAAGGAAAAATTGTGGTTAAGAAGTATCCGGATATGGAGGTTAAAGCGTGTGGGTGCCGATAAATTTCTTTTCATAGGTATCTTTCACCTTTTCAATTTTTTATTACTTATTTTTCTTTTTAATTTCTTTATTC